GGGAAGGTTGTTGATTACAGGATGAACCATAACCTAATCAGAACTTCTGGGCATGCAAAGATCTCTAAGACAGCATTTGGGTTCAGTTTCATCACTACTAAATCACCACTGATCCTAGATGATTGTTGAACCAATATCTAATGTCAATGCCTTCTATGAAGAGGATTCATTTATTCATTCATTTATTTCTTTAAAAGGTGTATTTAGCACCTTTGTCATAAACTGTGCTAGATATGCAGGATAATGAGACAAATATGACATGTTTCTTGTGTGCTAGATATGCAGGATAATGAGACAAATATGACATGTTTCTTGCCTTCAAAAAGCTGTAAAGGGTGATGCATAGAATTATTTCTAGAGAAGACAGGGCTAAGAGACCACCATATGAATCTTCTAAAGTCAGTGACTACCAAAAATGTCATGACTAGCTAAGATAAGGATCCATCTGCAGGGACTGTGATGAGAATGTTGGTGGGCATATTGCTTTTATATTCTGGTTACTTATTGTAATATTAATATTAATAACTAAATTTTTACACTCATGATGTACAAGAAATGGTTCTAAATGCTCCACATACATTATCTAATACTAACAAATCTAAGCGATATATACTGTCATTCTCCTATTTTCACCTTGACTTTACAAATGCAGAAACTGAGGCTTAGATTGATTTATGAAGCTTTTTCCTCAGAAAGACTTCCAGGGGCCCCAGTTGAAGACTGTGGAGCTGATTCAAGCCTCTTGCTTTATGAAGTTCGTTCATTCAGGCTTTATCTCTTCCATCAGTGGCTACATTTCTCTGCCAAATGATGGACACAAACCCACAGACCCTAAATTGTGAGGTCATTTATTCATTCAACAAGTATCTATTATTGAATTCCCATGTGATAAGAATACAATGATGTAACAAACATAGGCTCTGCCCTCAGGATACTTTCAACCTGGTAGAGTAGTTAAGAAATGAACAGAAAAGATAGAGAGCAGGTCACAAGTGCTGAACTCAATGGGCTGCTGGATGGCAGCCTGATTTCCAGGCTGACATTGGCCCTTTGGTGTCTCTGTCTGGAGCTCCTGCAGCTGGACCCCTGGGCTACAGGCCCTTAGTATGGCCCACACCCTCATGCAACCCAACCTTATCCACCAGTACCCACGTCATCCACATCATGGACAAGACAACACGAGAAATTTGCTTGGTACCGTTCAGTGGAACTAAAAATGTAGAGAAAAAAGCCAAAGGGAGAGTCAAGGAAAAGAACAGGTGCCTGAGGAACAACTGCTTGGAACTCGAAGACAATCACCAGAATGAGGAACACAGGAAAGAACTTAACCACAAATTCAGCAATGAGGAACTGAAAGATAAGTATGGTGCAACATTATACAGGTCTCTCCAGCATGAGAGCTTCAGAGCTCCTGGCTTGGGATTGCCCTTAGCCCTCTCAAAGAAACATCAAAGATTGTCAAGTATCAAGTATCGGTGCAAGGGTTCTTCATCCTTCCGTGGCATTCCTGTGCTGGGTTGCACTTAGCATTCAGTACTCCAGTGATAAGTCTGTGTCCCTAGACAATGTGTGTGTGAGTTCTCAGCCTGCTCTGGTTGTGGGGATCTTTGCTTATTACCAAGAGTTGAAAAGCACCAACACCATGGCGACCTTCAGTAATATTATTCTTCAGCAAGCTCTTGCTGTCTGAGATGCAGGGAAGAATGCAACCCCTGCACAACAGTTGGTGACCAGGATATAGTGGAGATGAAAGGATTAGACTAAATTTCTACAGATATCAGATTGCTGGCTTTTCAGGGAGGTGGATAGATAACTCATCTATCCATGGGATGTCCAAGTCCCAGTCCTGGCCATGTAACTTGTCTCATGACAATCCCCTGGAAACAAAAAAATACTGTCTTCTCTTCCATAACCTGTTTGGAAGGCACAGCAACTGGTACAGTTGCCAACGCAGGCAATGGCACCATCATTGGATAGCTGGCCCCACTGACTTCAGAAGCTGGAAATGAGAACACACTCATTGCCAGTGAGATCAACACCTTGCTTGCATTGTGGCAGGAATTCATAGGCATCCCTTTCTTCATCATCACAGTGTCTATGAAGTGTCATGCATTGAACTCCTCCATCTTTCTCATTGGCATCATGTGGCCAACGTACCTAAGGGACTCCTAGTCACTGTCACTGTCACTCTGTTACTAGCAGAAAATGGATGGCCAAGTAGAACTGCCTGGTGAAGACTCTGGAAGTGCTGGAGACCCTCAGTGCCACCTCATCATTTGAGGTGACAAGACTGGCACCCTGACTCACAGTAGGATCTATCCATGGTGTAACAGATTAATGTGGCTGACATATGTGAAGAACAGTCAACCCAAGTCTTCACCCAAGGCTCTGGAATCTGGAACTCCTTATTCATAATAATAATAACATTGTGTAACCATGTTGAGTTCAAACCAGGACATGAAAGTCTTCCCGACATGGAGAAAGTTATGGTTGAAGATGCCCCAGAAACTACCCTTGGAAATTCTTAGCAGTCATTTTATGTTATGTCATGGAAATTAGAAAATGAAACTACAAAGTAGCCAGGCTGAAAACTCTTTTGATTATACCAGCAAATTTCATCTCCTCATATATGAGCTGATAATCCTAATAATAAATGCTTTCTCATGGTAATGAAGGGTCCCTGGAGATCTCAGAGGAGTGCAGCTGAAGGACATAAGTCAAGAATAGCCGAGTGAGCTCTTAATGATCTTCACAGATGCCATTTTTGTTCAGACCTCTCCCCAATAGAAGCTGGGTGAGCCATCAGAGACAGGATGCTTTGACAGGGAATGGAGTCAATGCTCTAAAAAGGTAAGATATTGGGACTTCCATGAGAAAACCAGGTCCTGATGTAGCTAAAAATTTGGGGTGCACAGTGTTAATCAAGGACAGTGTGACAACTTTGCATCCATAGTCATAAGCTGAAGGAAGGTTGCCTGATCTTTGACAACCTACAGATGACTGCTTACACTTCAAGAACATTGCTGAGTTTTTAAATCTATATTATTGTTGGGCTCACCCTGCCCAGTAACACCATTACCATCTTGGTTCATCAACTTGGGCACAGACATAATTCCTTCATTGCCTTAGCTTATAAGGAAGCTGAAAGTGACCTTACGAACCAGCATGCCACAAGAAGGACAGACTGGTGAGCAAGCCACCTGCCACGTACTCTCCCTTCACACCGGCTTTGCATGAGGCCTGGGAGCTTTGGCTGTATATGTTGCCATTTATGCCCATTGCTCTCATTAACCTTTGGGATCAAATGGGAAAAGAACAGCATGAATGACTAGGAAGACAGTGTGAACAAGAATGGGCAAGATACCAGAGGAGATACCAAGACGGACAGGCTCCCTAACCACCCTCAGTGACATCCTGATCCAGCAAATAGTCTAATCAGTCATCACAAAAACTCAAGCAATCTCATCTTCCAGCAAAGTCTTTTCAGAAATAAAGCCATCTAGGTAGAGATTGACTTATAGGTTATCATAGCAGTAATACTCTCCCACTGGGCGTGTCAAGGCCCTGAATTTCACTATGCTCAGAATTGGTTTGCAAAAATGCCACTTGACACTCTCATTTGGTTGTATAATAATATGAAAACTCTTTATCAGGCTTTACCATGGAAGCTGTTAGGATAATATATCACTAAGACCATCTTTTTTCCCAAGTCCTTCAAATCCACATTGACAAAGATTTTCATCTTCTGGTCTCTAGCTACAAGATCTCTTGTGCAATAAGGACATCATCAAAATTCCTTCCAGGGGAAGACAAAGACTGTATGAAAGGTACTGGATTGATGTTTTGTACTTTACAGCTGAAGTTTGACTATCTATGACTTTTATGTCTACCTCCATCGCCTGTTTTAAAATACGTGAATTTCAAGTGATGATGTTTATGCATATATAAGATTCCATGATACTAAATAGTCTCGTGTAACCCAGGTATCTTCTGGAGTCCTCTATGCCTGAAGCTCTAGATGGGATTCCTCAAACCTCCATTCTACATGCTATTAAAGGTACAATTCCCTCCCTAAGATTTCTATGAATTCCTGGGGAAATTGATCACTTTGCTAAAAAAAATTCAGCTCAAAGTTTGCAGGAAATGAAAGCGGGGGCAGGGCCACATCATAAAAACATGGACAACTGCCACTTTGACTCTCAGATACTACCACGGCACAATTTCCCTGGACACATCACCCATCAGCCTAACCTGTTGCCTTCTCACCAGTCTTTTCTTCCATTTCCCCCTCCCATCTTCTCTTTTCTTCTTCCTCCCATATTACCCTTCACACCTTTGATTAGAACTCCAACTTGGCTTTCTCCAACTCTTGTTCCAAAACTGAGCTCCAAGTCTACTTTGAGTGTCCTAACTCAGGGTGCTCCATGAAACAAAAGGATCTTTGATTTACCAGGAAGCCACTCTGGTTTGAAATGGTAATATTTCTTCTAAAACATCTGCATAGCATTTTTCAGTACAGATTTCATACTGATCATGTTTCATGCTCTTAACTTAGGTTTATTCCTGTGTGGGACATACATTTATGCTGACAGGCCCAGAGAAGCCTCATTTTAAAGTAAAAGACATTTTATAAAACAAAACAAAACAAAAAAACCCTAAAGACACAAAACGTTAAGTGACATTTAGGGTCACTTAAATGTCAGGGTTGTGGTTAATGTTAAGGTTCAGGTATCAGAATATCTCTAAATGACTTCTAATGTCTCTTCTCAGTTCTGATTTTCCATCATTCTAGATCATGTACCGTGACACCCAATTAGGAGCATAGAAGAGGCTTCTTGGGACAGGTTCGTCTGCATCAGACCAATACAACAGGACTAGACTTGCAAAAATAAGGAAGACAAGATTTAAAGAAAAGTTAATCTGCAGACTACAAGAAATCAATAGTGGGACTTTGTCATTTCCAAGGCATTCTCAATTATCTCTTATCCTTTAGTACTTACAAAATTAGAAGAGTCTATTGCAAAGGTCTATCCTGTCCTTTCCTTTGAACAGTATTGATTGAGGGTCTTCTCCGTCTGGGACGGTATAATGCTGCCACTGAAAATACATAAGACAAGTAAGATAGAGTCCCCCCAAAGAAGGAGTTCAAGTTCAATGGGAGAAATAAACAAGGAAACAAGTATAACTCATGTTCAGACCTTCTCTCTCAGTTCCTGCAGCCCAGCCACAGGCTCTGGCCTCTCCCATTCCATTTCAGGTACAATACACAGCCCCTTCTGGCACATCCACCCCAAGGCCATGCCCACAAACCATTTAGTTATTTTAATAACTTTTAGGAAGCCTTTCAGCAGTCAGGACCACCCCCAACCCTGCAAGTCTCTTCTGCCTCCTGGCTGCCCCTCACCTCTTTCTCTTTTTTCCTCTCCTTACTCCTCTTTCTCAGAAGCAACACAAATTTCCCTACTTATCATACAAATGGCAGTTCTGAGGGCACCTTTTATTATAGCCCTCGGCTGAGCATACCCTTGCGTGTCACCCTCCCCCATAGTGACTCAAAATCTTTCTTTAAAATAAATACAGGACCCTCCCTAAAAATGTTCTGGATGGGGAGGGAAGTGGGCCTTCATGTGTGCTCAGACAACAGAGCTGCACTCATAAAGGGATGGGTCCTGTTCAGTACAAGATAGAAGGGGCAGCCTGGGTGGGAAATAATAAAGAGAATTCTGGTGGATGAAGTAGATTTCTTTTTCTCAGCAAGACCATTCCAGAAATGTAGGGAGTTGGCCCACATGCTCGCCAATGTTTGGGTTATGTTTCAACCTTGATTGAGCACCAGAACTGTGCATGGTGCCAACTCCCATGTGCTTTGAGGAGGGCTGGGTACATTATGCTTCTCTGTTTCTGTTTTTGAGTTTTCCCTCCATGTGTCTGGAATGTTTCTTCCATTAAAACCAGGACTTTTCCTCCCTCTGGGCCTCCATACAGAATCCAGCCCAAGCCAATATCCCTAGGGCATGCTAAATCCATTTTGGTGCCAAAAATTAGAAATAATTTATTCAAAAAATGCTGATAACTCCTCAGAGAACTTTTTCATGGGCTGTATTATTTCACTCCAGATTCCTTAATGAGAAGGAGGTCTCTTGCTCAGTGGTGGCATGACAATGCCAGGCTGCTTCTTTAGACGTTTCTGCCTAGAAAGAGAAGGCAGACCTCAAGCATGAGGCAGGTTCTCCCTACCACGTGGTATGGGAGTCTCCTCTACCCCTCTGACAGCCAGCTCTTCCTATATGCTTCTACACAGGATCTGCATCTCAATTCAGAATCCAGATGTGGTCTCCCTAGCAGACAAGCATTCTTGCTAAGGTAGTCTAAATAGAACATTCCAGAAAAACATAATTATTGCCTTCAAATAGGCCTGTCATGTAAAAGATGTATTATATTTACTCAGCACCATGCCAGAAGAGAAGAATGAAAACAATAGAGGTGGCTAGAAGACAAAAACATCTTCATTGTATAAAAAAGGGTTTTGCATATTCTCACTCATAGGCAGGTGATGAACAGTGAGAACACATGGACACAGGGAAGGGAGTACTACACACTGGGGTCTATAGGGGGGAATAGGGGAGGGACAGCAGCGGGAGAGCTGGGGAGGGATAGCCTGGGGAGAAATGCCAAATGTGGGTGAAGGGGAGGAAGGTAGCAAAACACACTGCCACGTGTGTACCTATGCAACTATCTTGCATGTTCTGCACATGTACCCCAAAACCTAAAATGCAATAAATAAAAAAAAGGGGGTTGAACCAAAACTAGAATAGAGCTGAACACCTGAAGTTAGGTATTATCCCAGCATTGGTCTCCTCAATATCAATTCATAGCATTGATTTGCATAGGGTGCTAGAATGTTCTGGAGAAATAACTGATCCATGGCCAAACTTGGAGTTCAGACACAGAAACAAGCATGATGAATTTAAAGTGTGTGGATAGAACATGCTAGAGAAGCTATATTTCAAGGAAAGCAGAAAAGGAGAATCTGCAATGGAGGCAGGAAAATCCTGGAGTACTGGATGCAGCCCCAGGCCTGGGCATCAAGGCTGAGAGTGGAAGTTCTGGGTGTAGGAAGGTGGTGGCCTTGCTTTAATCTGCTCCAGTCCCAGGGACTGTCATGGCATGAGCATTCCACTGAAAGGAACAGGCCTTGTGTAAATGTTAAAATAGCCATGATACCTAAGGACTCAAGCAATTCCTCAGAGAGAACCAGAGAAGAATAGCCCACCAGGAAAAGGAAACCATTTCTATCCTGGCTGGAAAAAATTACCATCAAGTAGCTTGGAGCAGCAGAAAGTATGTCAGTTGTCTGAGACGGAAAGGCCCTGGCATGGAATACAGAACAAGTGTAAGTTCAGAGAGAGAGCCTGGAACCCAGCCACTGGGACATCAGAACTACTGGCCCAGAAGACAGTAGTGGCCCCAGCTCCAGCAGCGGCTTGGCAGATTCAGACATCCACCTGAGGCAGCCTTTATTGATTTTCACAGAGGAAGTGGGGAGAGTCCTCTGATAACCATTATTACCACAAGGACAAAATCCTGAAGCCACACAGAGGAAGGTCAGTGATAAGCTTTGGCTGTGTCCCCACCCAGATCTCACCTTGAATTGTAATCCCCATAATCCCCATGTGTCAAGGGCAGGACCATGTGGAGGTAACTGAATCATGAGGGTGGTTTCCCCCATGCTTTTCTTGTGATAAGAGTGAGTCTCACGAGATCTGATGGTTTTATAAGCATCTGATATTTCCCCTACTGACTCTCATTCTCTCTCCTGCCACCTGTGAAGAGATGCCTTCCACCATGATTGTAACTTTCCTGAGTCCTCCCTAGCCACATAGAACTGTGAGCCAATTTAACCTCTTTCCTTTATAAATTACCCAGTCTCGGGTATTTCTTCACAGCAGCATAACTAACACAGTTACCAAACTATCAAGTTTTATGTCTGCTTATTTTTAATATTTTTCTAAGGTCATAATTACCAAGGAATAATTTCATACGGTAAAATTTATCCTTTTGGATATACAATTTACTAATTCTCACAAGCTATGCAGTTGTAAAATAACCCCCACAATCAAGATATAGAACATTTCCATCACCCCAAAAACATCCCTTCATACCTCCTTGTATTCAACAGCTCCCTTCATTCCCAGCCCCTGGCTACCACCAAGCTTTTTTGTAAATATACATACATATATACACACACACTTACGTACACATTTTATTTGTCACCTCTTCCAGAATGTCATATAAATTAAATCATAACCTATGTAGCCTTTTGACCTGAGTCTGGTTTCCTTTCCTTTGATCAGACATGTGAGATTTATCCATACTACTGCATACACCAGTAGCATCTCTTTTTCTTGCTGGACTAGTAGTATTCCACAGAATAGACATACCACAGTTTGTCCATTCTCCTGTTAATGGTCATTTGAATTGTTTCCCATTGTTGATGATTATAAAACTATTTGCATACAGGTTTTAATATGGACATATGTTGTCACTAGGTAAATATCTAGGGGTGGGACTTCTGGATCATATGGTAAGCATATATTTAACTTTATAAGAAACTGCCAAACTGTTTTCCAAAGTGGCTGGCCCATTTGGCATTCCCACTGTGTCTATTACAGTGGTCTCATTGGCACTCACAGGATCTCTATCTGAGAATATTGAAGTTCTATTTCTATTGCTCCAACACCCAGGTGTGTCCAGAGATAGAATTTGAGGCCTCTGGAAATAGTGATTTTCCTGTCCCTGTGGTTGGCCACGCAGGGGCTGGCCAACTGCTAGTCAGGGATGTGATCAAGGACCAGACAGTTTGGCCTTCCAGATCTCCTCCAACTCTGTTTTCTCTGATGTTATGAATATGAATGTCACCCTAGCCAGCAGATAGACCCCACTCTCCCACATTTCTTACCACTTGACTAAAAGACAAATGTGTATCTCGGTGTTTGATGTCTTTATCAGTTTGAATGATGTGTTTCAGTGAGTTGATATTTTTTCATGCAGTCCATTGGATCTCTTAGCAGTTTTTCCAAGGCGGTAGTAAATTAACGACCTTCCCACATTCTTTTGACCTGTTCTGAGCTGTAAGTCTTTTGCTCTGGTGCTCTCCATTTTGGGATAAGAGAACCTAGCCAGCTCTTGGAATGCTGCAGAGTACCCCAAGAATAGAAATAACTGAGCAGTGAAGCAGGTGATCACGACCAGAAAGACTGCATTGACTCTGCCCTCTTTGCAGTGAGTTCTGGCATCTGATAGGTCTGAATTCGGATTCTGACTGTGTTACTAGCTGTGTGACTCTAAACAAGTCACTTAACCTCCTTGAATCTTGGTAAAATGGGCATTCTCTGCAAAGGATTAGAATTCATGGACATAAAGCACCTTCATACAGTGTACACCCTCTGGGAAGCATTATTTTGGCTTTTACTGTCCCCGAGTCTTCTCTCTCTCTCTCTCTCTCTCTCTCTCTCTCTCCCCCCCCCACCCCCACCCCCCGCACTACTGCTGCTCCTACTTCTATTACTTAAAGAGACGTTGATCATCTCTGGATAGTCCTGGGAAGTAGTACTAGACATAGAACAGAGACCAGCATCCAGTGCCTGGGTTAGGGTGAGAAAAGTGACAGGCAGAGCCAGGTAGGGAAGGGTCTGCCAAGGTGACCCAGGGGAAGTGATCCAGGAGCCAGCATTGAGAAAATTAGTACCTCATGGTAAAGCCTATCTGAGATTCCAGACCTGGAACCATTCCTGATGCTGTCTCTGAGCTCTGAGCCTAGGACACATCTCTAGCTAAAGGATTCACATATCTGTCTCCCAGGGAGCCTTGACTCCTCTCTGCTATTCTGGGACTCTGGGAAAAGACTTACCCTAAACAATTTGAGGACACTTGTAACAGCACTGAGCAGAAAAGTAACGAAGCAGTTCTGAGGTGCTTTAACTTTCAAACCCAGAGATAGTGGGCAGATAGGTCTGAGCCCTACTGACCAGTCTTTGCAAATAAATCAACAACCATTAACAACTGTGGATTTTATTCCTAAATAGATTTCTCTAGAC